TAACATGGCGACCCCCTAATTCGTCCCAACGTTGAACCCAAATAGATCACATCGCTATCAGCCACCGATGGAGGGGCTCGATAGAAGACTGTCGCTCATTCTGGAGCACATGTCTAGATTCAGATCATGCTCTAGTGCGAGCGCGTATTTGCTTGCGTCTTACTGGACGTAGGAAAGACGCTGCAAGGAAACCTCTTAGGGGCCTAGTTAATGATAGTCAAGCCAAGAGTATATTTCAGGAACAACTAGGAAAACAGTTAGGCAGCCATATATGTGATGTCCACCCCGAGGCAGCATGGAACGATATCCGAAAAGCTGTGGAAACAGCAGTGATATCTGCTAGTAAGGTAGACCAGAAGGTTAGGGAGAAACACTGGATCTCAGCAACATCTATCACACTGATAGATGCTCGGAAACTCATTCCACCTGGCTCTGAACATAATGAAGAGCGGAGTCAGCTTAAGCGCAAGCTGACAAGAAGTCTACGCAATGATCGGGAACAGTGGTGGTTAGCGAAAGCAAAAGAGATGGAAAAGGCAGCGGCAATAGGTAATAGCAGACAATTGTTCAGACTCGTTAAGGAAACCGGAATTAGGAACCCGACCGTTAGCGAAACAATCTCAGAGAAAGATGGACATATTATTCATTCTCAATCCAGGAGATTGGATAGATGGGCAGAACACTTTAGGGATCAGTTCAACTGGCCTTCAGCCACACTTCGGTTTCCCACGATCTCTAGTCAACCTGAATGGCAAGTTAATGTAGGTCCTCCGTCCCTTTACGAAGTTGAAAAAGCCATAGGAAATCTGAAGCGAGGGAGAGCAGCAGGCCCTGACAGGTTTACTCCTGAGATTTTTAAGGGTGGTGGTCCAGTATTAGCAATGAGATTAACTGAGGTCTTAGGTAGAATTTGGGAACTGGACGTAATCCCATCTGACTGGTCTCAATCACTGATTGTGCCAGTCTATAAGAAAGGACAAAAGTCCTCTTGTGATAATCACAGAGGAATCAGTTTGACTAATATAGTGTCTAAAATGTTAGCTTCAATAATACTTCGACGCCTAATCAAAGCTCGTGAAGAGCAGATTAGAGAAAACCAGGCCGGTTTTCGACCTGGACGTGGCCGTATAGATCAGATATTCACACTACGTCAGGTTCTAGAACACAGACACACATTCAGACGTCCCACAATGGTAGTATTTCTCGACCTTAAGGCGGCATTCGACTCTGTTGATCGTGAGGTTCTATGGCAGTGTTTGTCACTGAAAGGAGTACCAAAGAAGTACATTAACCTTATAAAGGCTCTCTACTCGAACACAACTGGTAGAGTGAGAGCTTATGGCGAACTGTCATCAGAATTGATCACCTCAAGTGGTGTTCGTCAGGGCTGTCCACTCTCCCCATTCTTGTTCAACTTTGTGGTCGACTTACTTTTAGAGATAACACTTTCCTCATCTAAATTTCCAGGGGTTGAACTTCTACCGGGAGGTTCACTTGTTGACTTAGAATATGCAGATGACATAGTTTTATTTGGTGAAGACGCTGACAAAATGCAGAGTCTTCTGACCACTCTAAGCAACAATGCAAGCATGTTTGGGATGTGATTCTCTCCCTCGAAATGCAAAATGTTGCTTCAGGATTGGGTTACACCGACACCCGAACTAGTGATAGGGAGTGAAGTAGTTGAGTGTGTCGACCGCTTCGCTTATCTTGGTAGTCTCATCAGCCCTTGTGGTGTGGTGTGTGACGAAATCTCAGCACGGATACAGAAGGCTCGACTAGCCTTTGCCAACTTGCGTCATTTATGGCGTAGGCGAGATATCCGTCTATCAACCGAAGGACGGGTTTGCTGTGCAGCAGTTCGTTTTGTCCTACTTTATGGCTGTGAAACATGGCCGGTAAGAGTAGAAGATATTCGTAGGTTACTAGTATTCGATCATAGATGTCTTCGAAACATTGCTCGTATATCCTGGGACCATCGAGTAAGTAACACAGTTGTTAGGAAACGAGTACTAGGTAAGGATGGCAAATCAATTGATGAAGTAGTGAAACTTAATCAGTTGAGATGTCTGGGACACGTGTTACGTGTGCTCAACGACCGACTACCTCGACGTGCTATGTTCAGTGGTATAGGAGTATATTGAAAGAAAGCTAGGGGCGGCCAAACCAAAACATGGCACAAGTCCGTGAAGTCACTGACTGACTGATTTGGGACTCGTCAGCTGGATGCATCTACATCTCAGATTTGATGATCACTTCGAGATTCGAAACCAGTACCGTTCGCTTTAAACGCTATCGCGTTATCCATGAAATTATTATGGTTTTTTAATGCAAATGTTAGTTGATATACACACCTTTTCTATTTTAGTTACACCTTTTATTAATATTATGTGACCATGGATACTATTATGTTAGACTAGTTAGAGTAGAGTAGATATTTGTGGAATTTATATCAATAATTAACTATCATTCTCAATCAAATATTAGTTATATAATATACCCTTGTGGGCCAGGCTGATGTTACATTGGTTTTTAGGAGAACCAGACACCATCCAGGCTTTCACGTGACAACCCAAACATTACAGCTCAGTCCCGTTTCACAGGAGAGCCAGACACCTCCCAGGCCTAAATTTTATAACGCGAGCAGTACAGCTCAATCCCGCTTCACAGGAGAACCAGACACAGTATAGGCTTTAACGCTACAATCTGAATAGTATAGTTCAATCCTGTGGCGCAACAACACAGGTACCAAGCACCCTGGTGAACCATTCGCACCATTCATATACACATTCACACCGTATGTATAGTTATTCCAATCAATGGTCGCGTGAATCAATTATGCACATCACGAACAGGCCAAAGTTGACCTATTCCGCTTACACGACAGTCAAACTAATTAATGTTAGCAATTACAACATGCCTTACAATGTCCCAATGACAATGGCCCCTGAGAACACTGAAAACCAACCACCAATATGAATGAAGTCGGTTAACCAACAAACCAATTTTGCACATGAACGGTCAGCAAAACTTGCTAAATCAATGCCGAACCATCGGCAATACCAATGGCGAACCTCCAGCTTTATATGAGACCTTCAGCTCTACATAGCCATATAGCTTATACTGCATACAACACATATGTAGGGTAGTAAACAAAATAGCCCAACCTGAAGCGTTAGGGTTTGAAGAACGCTTAAAACCCATTGTGTACTGTCGGAATACTATGAAAAGACACCACCAAGATCATTTGATCGCATTTGCGAAATTTTCATTTTTCCGACTTTTCAGACCCTGAATTAGGGGTAGTAGTTAAATGTATAAAACTCTAGAGTTTCATAATTTTCAATTTAATTTATTTGAATAGGTATGGTCTATATTTTGTCAGTTAATCGAAATTAGTTTGGAAAATATCCTAAACCTAAGATTTATGTTATGTGATAATTGTTAATAAACCAAACCTATAATTTTTGGCAGACTAATACCCAGTGTAGGATTTGAGTTAGATATTATTCAATGGAGATGTTACCACTTAGTTACTCAAGGTCACGAATAACTTCATGAAGGACTGAAACATTGACTGTTGATTTTTAATGAATTCGTTGAAACATGAAAAGTTAATGCACACAGAGAGACAAACAGAAAGTAGGACAAGGACTATGGTATAATATTGTGACTAATCACAGTTGCATTGACCGACCTCAATCAGTTGTCCTTTGAGCACTTCGGTCACGCGATTAGGTCACTAAAGCCTACTCCAACCTAATTGCTCTTTCAAGTGCCCCGAGAACCCCCCCACGATGTGGACAACCTCTAATAGCACTCAAGATCACTAGAAACACTAAAAGTCAAGTTAGAGATTATGGCAAACTATTTTCGGAATTGTCACCTTCAATCAATGTTAGTCAGAGTTGCCTATTATCTACATTTCTACTTGATATCGTCATAGATATAATCTTAGAAGTCACAGATTATTTATCTAACTTTTCAAGTTTTGATCTTCTTCATGAAAGATCATTTGTCGCAAATGATACAATCCTATTTGAGAAATATTCTGACAAAATACAGTGTCTGCTGAACGCTTTGATGAATAATACAAATATGTTGAGGACGAGTTTTCCTCCTACTAAATTAAAAATGTTGCTTCAGGATTACCGTACATCATTGCCTAGATTGACATAGATTTTTACATTGTTGAATACGTAGTTTACTTTACCTATCTTTTAATTCTTATCAGTCTTAATGAATTGGTGTCTAAATAAATCTTGACATAGATTCAGAATGATCATTTGATTTTTTGTTAACTTCCATTATCTATAACATTTTTGAAATATTCATCTGTTAACCAAGAGGGTTAGTTAGTATACTACTCATCAGTCCTCTTTATGTTACTCTTTAACTATGAAGTATGTTCTATGAAAGTAGAAGATATAAGTAGGTTAAAGCTATGTGAAGTTAGACACTAACACTGTTGGATGTCGGCAAATTCAATGGTCTAGAGATTAAGTGTCCGAACGCGATACTGATAGATCCTGAGTTCAAATGTCATGAGGCGGGATCATGGATGCACACTGTTGAAGAGTCCTACAATAGGACGAAACGGCCGTTCTGTGCTTCCAGGTTTTCCATGATGATCTAGCTTCAATTGACTCATGATTTCTACAATTAAAAGTATTTGATCATAGGACTTAATGCATTATAATATGTACCAGACTCTACTTTATTCTTGACTGATTCAATAGATTAAATAAACATGATTTTGACTACTACTATTATTTCATCGATTAATCAATTTACAATAATAATCAATTACCTTAGTGATTATCTTAAACAGATTATCTTTTTGTCTGTTTTTTTTTTGTTGTTTACTTCCAAAAAATCGATTTTATGCTTGTTCCCTTTTATTGATTTTCTGTCTATATTTCCTTTTTTTGTTCTGTTTTACTATATTTCTCTTTTTTTCTCTCTCTCTCCTTCTTCGTATTACCATTGTCCTCAAATAGTCGATTACAATGAATTCATTACGTAAATTACCATTGGCTGTATTTTTGGAAAATTCAGTTCTATTACAAGTAAGTAGTATGTATTGTATTGTTCATTTGTTTTTCTTCTCTTTTCTAGCAATCATTTATCGTTTTAGTTAGATTTGATTTCTTTGATTAATTTTGAGAGACATTTGATTAATTCTAAACTTTAATAGTTGAATTCATAGGTCAATTGAAGCTAGACCATCATGGTATTACTGGAAGACCGTTTCGTCCTAGCCTGGGACTCTTCAGCAGTGAGTATCCACGATCTCGTCTCGTGAAATTCGTACCGAGGACCTATCAGTCTCGTGCGCGAATACTTAACTTTTAGACCACTGAACTTGCTGGCATCCAACAGTGTTAATGTCCAATTTCAATTAATCCACGAAATTGAGCAACACATCTATCATTGTCTTCAATGAGTTACTATCTCATAACAGACCCAGTTGAACTCCACTGGTTATTGCTTCACACTAGAACGGTGTTGATATCTAACTTCAATCTATCCACAAAACTGCCCCACTGTTCACGAAATGGCTGTTCAGTGCTTCCAGGTTCTCCATGGTGGTCTAGCTTCAATTGGTTCATGAATTCAACTATTAAATTATTACAATATCCACAAAACCCTTCTCTTATATAACTATTTATTTATAACTGAAATTACATTGTACCTTTGTACCAGTGGTAACGATTCTAACCAGATGAAAATGTAGCAAATTTACATTTTATTTGAATGGAACAAAGATTGAATATACATTGACATTATTGTTCTACACTTATTACAGTCTATTGATAAAGACTACTTGTTAAGTCTAATAAATTTAAAGTTATAAATTGTGAGACAGAATAATATTGATTTATGCTAAAATGCTTCGACAATTTACGAATATTATCATAAATAGTAATAGTGTGATGTGTACTACTGATGTCAACATATATAAGTAGTATGTATCATCAATCGAAAATGAAATGTCTGGAGGTAGAAGGTTAAGAAGATCGAAGAAAAGAGAACGAGAACAAAGAATGATTGATTTGGAAATGAAGGAACAAAGAAGTCTGAGACGATTGATGGTCATTTTGCAAATGAAGTATTCACTGTATAGTTCTCAGATTTGACTAAGAGATTCTGTAATTTTGTATTCAAATACATTCGACTGTCCTCACTTGTTTTATCGTTCACTACAATAGTAGTAGTGTGATGTGTCCTGCTTATGTTTACAGATCTAAATAGTATGTAACACAAATGTCTAGCGGCAGAAGATTGAGAAGGCCGAATTGAAGAGAACAGGAATGTAAACAAACAGTAATTGTAATAACAACAAGAATGAAGGAACTTTAAATTTTGTAAGACACAACTGATGGATGATGTGCAAATGATTCAGTCAGTCAGTCAGTCAGCTACAACGTGAGACCAGGCACATATATGCATCGGTCCAAGTTGCCATACCACATTAACACAACAAGATGAACACCGGATTCATAGAAGTAGTTAATTCAATGGTGGTAATATATAAACGAAAGATTGCATATAATGATATAATACAGGAAGAAAGAATTAGTACGTAGAAAGAAAGATATGAAGCGATTTTAATCTCATAATTTAAGGGAAGACAGAGAGTGTATACACCTACACCATTGTGATCGATTCTGAGTCATGTCACCAAGAGCCTCCAACCATTGGTTACGATGGTTTATAGTAACTTAGTAAAGTGTTCAGTTACTATTCTTTAATGTATTTACTATATATTCTTGTTTAATAATCACCTCATTAGCTGATATCTGTTGTTACATACTATCCATTATTCAGTGTTTACAAACTTATCTTAATCATGTTTACAATGGTAGTGATAAATGATCCATGAATCTGTCAGTACGTGAGAAATACCCGTTACTTAAGTAATGAGTTGTAATAAATGTTTTCATCATAACAACAATACATTATACTCAGAAGTTGGGACTAAACTCATACATGGGTTATACACATTGAATAATAAATATGTAACTTAATATTTTCGATGATATTATAGTTCCAGTGTTAGATTATTAGAATTAGTCATCAGAAAATTCTAGTTACCTTAGGTTTCACGATGTCTGGCACTTGGAAATCTTAAGGAAACTAATGCTCCCTGTTGGATTCGGAATCTCACTACTCATTCACAGTCACAGACGTTAATACTAAGCTTTTTTAGCTACAAATAACCTGTACCACTAATATATTCATAACTATCGGCCATTGAGGATCAACCTATGTCATGTTTGTCTAGTTTCTATCGTTGATCCGATTTTATTGACATGAGTATAAGTCCCTTTAGGACTGTAGGTACGCCTAGCTGATGAATATCAACTAGCATGAAACCTAGATCCGAGAGTTCTTACTAATTAACTCCAAAACAAACTGTACTGTACCGTCGAGTTAATTAGACTAGTGGCCAAATTACAATTTAATTGAGTAGATAAATATTACAATGGTCGATCAATGATACTACAGTATGATACTTATGCTTCCTGTAATATAATCTTCAGATTTTGACAAGCTGATGACACATAACTCATAATCCATTATAAACAATCTGTGTATAATTTATATCAATTTGGATTTTATATGAGTGTATATTGGTACCTTTTTTTATGTCTCTTGCATCAGACATTCAAAATGTTTCACTCGTAGTGTTTTCATCTTGACAATATTAAGTTAGTGAAGGGATTCAGCAAGAAGAAGCTTTGAACACTGTCCTAATAACATTTGGATTTTTATCTATAGGTAGATGTCATTGAAATCTTGAACCGATCAATGTTAGATCACCACTGAAAACCTGGACACTTATCGTGCGCTCATTGGTTACTAGCTTTGCGAGATAATTCTCGAAGTTCAAGTGAGAAGCCGTCATTAGTGGGGCTAAACAATTTCAAGTGTGAAGTAGTTACCCAACGAAGACAATAGAAGATGATCGTGCGATATTGTCGATTGGTTGAAGTTAGGCATAAATACTGTTGGATCCCGGCTCAGTGATCTATATATTAGGCATTCGCACGCGAAACCGAAGGTTTTGAGTTCGATTTCCATGAACGGTATGGTGGATACTCATCTCTGAGGAGTCCCGTACTAATACGAAATGACTATCCAGTGCTTCCAGGTTTCGAATGATGGTCTAGCATTGATCAGTTCATGATTTCAATGAAAGGGCAGTTATCACTTTCCAGTCGCCCACACCATGGAAGAGTTCTTCTGGAGGTACCTGAAAAAGAAATTGGACTAGAGGATGGTCTTATTTATCTGAGAATGTGACCGAAGTGCTCAAAGTACAACTGCTTGAGGTCGGTCAGACATACCCTTTTTGTGAGTAATTTTCGTGTTAGCTCCGTACTTATTGAAACCTTTCCGCCGGAGATTGATATCCGTGGGATAAGGTGATATGTGCATTTTTAGAGTCCACCTTTTCTGAACTCACCCCCCCCTTTGTGGGAAGGCAGCATCGCTGTTATGCTGGTTGTCTGAGGGAAACATCTTACTACCATCATACCTCTGTACAGCCAGTAGTACAAGTTTGCCTTCGGACCTTGAGTTTGTTGTTTTTAGTTTTAGCGCTCTTTAGCCGACTTGTCTGGCATGGTAATACATTGTGGAACAATTGATCCAGTCAGTATAACTCTATTGATTCATCACAATAGACAAGCTCGATCACCATATCAACTTAGCAACAACGGTCGGATATCCATTATTTCATATATTTGAAATTGTTTTCATTTTATAATGAAATAATATTGATTAATTTGTTGATTTATTTAGGAATTATGTTGTATTAAAGAAGAATGTGCTGATCTTAAAATTCGTGTATATTTACTTGAAAAAGAATTACGTGCTAATCGTTTAACATTAGATAGTCGTACTGTTGCTGAACGTGCATTACGTGCTCATCTTGATGCATTAATTATTGAACAAAATAATCAATATTCATTATTAAATGATAATAAGTTAAAATTATCACAAACGACAACAATGGCGACGTCGACGACGACGACGACAACAGCAACAACAACAACAACAGGAACAGGAATAACAACAACATTAACCAATCAATCTATACAGAATATTAATCAAAATGAAATAGTTTTATTAAGAGGTCAAGTCAAGGTAAACTATATATATACTGAATTAATAATTTACATTCAATTATGATTATTAAATTTTATTGAAATCATGTAATGATCAATGTTAGAGAATTATTGAAAACCTGAAAACATTGGATAGACATTTCGTATTAGTACAAGACTCCTCAGAAGTAACTTACTTACGTTTTTTTTTACCCCGAGGGAGTATAGGCCGCTGCTCAGCATACTCAAATCCACTCTGTCCGTAGCCTTCCTTTCTAGTTCTATCCAATTATTGTTCATCCTTCTTATATTTGTCTCTTTTTCTCGGTGGAATGTGTTCTTTGATTTTCCTCTTCTCCTTTGGCCTTGAGGGTTTCAGATGATGAGAACTTGCTTTGTGACGCAGTTCGGTGCTTTCCTCAATGTGTGTCACATCCATTTCCAGCACCTCTTCCTGATTTCTCCCACCACTGGAATGTGGTTTGTACTCTCTCACAGTAGTTTAGTGTCTGGTCAACGGAGACAACTGTCAAAGAACACTTGTATGTTGTGGATGATGGCTTTCGTAGTTCTCCATGTTTGCGCCCCATACAGTAGAACTGTCTTGACATTTGTATTGAAACTTCTGACTTTGGTGTTGTTTGACAGACAGTTGTTTTGACTTCCAGATTTTCTTCAATTGTATATATGCTACTCTTGCTTTACCGATCCGCAGCTTAACATCTGTATCAGATCCACTGTGTTCATCAATGATGCTCCCCAGATACGTAAAGGATTTTACATCTTCCAAACCTTCTCCGTCAAGTGTGATTTGATTGGTGTATGTTGTGTTGTATCGGAGGATCTTGCTTTTTCCTTTGTGCATGTTGAGACCTACTGCTGCTATACTGGTCGTGTTTTCCTACATTTGTTGTTGCGTGTGCACTAGAAGAACCGGATCATCTGCGAAGTATAGGTCGGCTAGCTGCATGCTAGCCATCCACTGTATCCCATGCTTCCCCGCAGATGTTGACGCCTTCATAATTCAGTCGACCATCAGAAGCAGTGAACATCCACCATACCGCACATGGAAATTGAAATCAACACCTTGAGTTTTGCATGCGAATACCTAATCTCTAGACCACTGAGCCGGGATGCAACAGTGTTTATATTTAACTTTAACCAATCGACAATGTCGCGTGATCATCTTCTATTGTCGTCATTGGGCAACTACCTCACTCTGGACATTGTTTATCCCTACTAGTGATGGCCTCTAAATACATTTTTGAGAATTTTTGTCGAACCTAGTCACTTGTGAACACATGATGGATGCACACTGTTGAAGAGTTCTATACTAAGACGAAACGACAATTCAATATTTCTATGTTTTCTGCGGTATTTTTATATTGATCGATTATCGATTTCAATAAAAATCAATATATAGAATAAACGTTCATCTACTTGGTTTATCATAATTATATTGAATGCAAATTAGCGTGATCTTTCCAGTTGTTACACATTCTCTTGATATCTGCTTTCTATTTCCAACCTATTATGCTTCTCGGTCTTCCTCCTTTCTGTTCCCTTCCAGGATTTCAGGCAAGCGCTTGAGTCGTGGTGCAGTTTGATGATTTCCATAATGTATGTCCTATCCACTTCTAATGTCTTTTCCTAATTTCTTCTTCAGCTCAAAGCTGGTTTATTCTCTCCCACCATAGTCTATTGCTGATGGTATCCGATCGACGGACATTGAGTATTTTGGGTAGAGAATTGTTTATAATTACTTGTACTATTTTGATGATGATTGTGGTAGTTCTCTAAGATTCAGCTCCGTACAGTAGAATTAACCATCTTGAGGTTTGTATTGAAGATTATGAATTTGATATTGGTTGAGAGTTGTGTTTTGAGTTCCATATGTTATTTAACTGTAGGAATGTTCCTTTTGCTTTGGCAATCCTTGCCTTTACATCTACATGAGATCCTCCTTGTTTATCGATGATGCTACTCAGGTACTTGAAAGTTTTCACCTCTTCCAGAGTTTAGACGCAAGGTATTAGGGAATGATGGTAAATCAGTTGATGAAGTTGTGAATCTTCATCAACTGAGATGATTCGGCCACATGTTACGTATACTTGAACACTGATTACCACGACGCGCAATGCTGACTAGTGTTGGGAATGGTTGGAAGTTAGGGATGGACAAACCGAAATGTAGCATTAATGCTTGAAGTCACTAACTTCTAGCCTGAGCCATATTGTTAAATGCAAACTACTTGGTTGCGGTTCGCTTGACTATACTGTACAATATCCCTACATAAAATCTTTCCTTTACATATTACACCATTGAGTCAACTACTTCTATGAATCCGATATTCGTCTTGCTGTACTAATGAGGTATAGCAACTTGGACCAATCCATGTATGTGCTTGATCCTACGTTTTAACTGATTGACTGACTAACTTCCAGAGTTTCTGTATAAAGTATGATTGAATTAGTGTTCCTTGGGTTGTGATGGAGTTTTGTTCTCTACAAACCATTGGGAAACTCAACCAAAACAAAGGAGTAAACAATGACAAATTTAAGATCAATAAGAACCAATCAACGTCGAGGTGTACAGAACAAGCTGTGAAACGCATGTAGAGGAAATTCGAACACTTCACTTCTATCTGAAGTTTGTGCTGATGATGAAAGCTCCACGACTAAACCATGCAGCTCAGAGAACAAAACTCCATCAAAATCATCCACCTGAGTTATAAATCTTCTCCACCACTCTTGGGTTGTATTTCATGATCTTGATTCTCCCCCTTTGTGTATGTTGTTTGTTTTCTTTCTTTTTTTTCTTGTTTCTTCTCATTTATAGAATTTATTACAAGCTCTTGAAGCATTACGTAGTAGTACAGAAATACAACAAATACAAAGTGAAGAATTAGTGAATGATTTAAAACGTGCTAATAGTGCATTAATTAAAGCATTTGATAAAATAAAACATAAATATACAACACGTATTAAAAAATTAGAAGATCAATTAAATTCTATGCATTCTATTCCTTCATCCACATGTTCTACATCATGTCATACTACTATTAATACTACTAATACTACTACTACTACTAGTTGTAGTAGTACAACTACTACTCATCACAATTATTTAAGTAATACATTCAAAGGATGTATGATAGAACATCATAATATTAATGAAATATCAAAAGCATCTATTATATTAAATGATATGAATAATGTAAATATAAATTCTCAAATTCATCCCATTTATCCTATGCAAAGTGCTTTACAACAACAACAACCTGTAATAACAACATCAACACATTCATTGAATATACCTTCAATAATTGATTGTAATCGTAATTTATCATCAATACCGACATCTCATATCCCTCCTATTCCTCAACATCAACATCAACAATATCCACTGCATCATCAACAGGATCATCATTATTATCCACAAATTAAACAAAAACCTATGATATTGAATACATCTCAATTGAGAACAACACCACTTTCAACTAATTCATTATCACAACAGTTTTCTAATTTAAAACATTTTCCTACTCATTGAAATATCATTCATTTCTTCTTTTTATTTCATTGTACATATATATAGGTCATCAATCGAATCAGTAAAGCTAACTTTTTTCCCTCCTCCTCCTCCTCCTCCTCCTCCTCCTCCTCCTTCTTCTTCTTCTTCTTCTTCTCCTTCTCCACCACGACCACCACCTCCTCATTCTCCTCCTCCTCCTCCTCCTGCTACTACTACTACTTCGAATTTTTATACGATTCTTGTTTCCCTTCTTTCTTTCTTTTTTTGTATGTGAATACTTAGCAACAATAACAATTCAGATAGTTATATTATCTCTTGTTTCCTTTCTTCTTTTTTTTTCATATTTTCCGCGGTTTGTTTTATTTTAGCGGGAAATGATATTGTAACCGATACTCTCTCTCTCTCTCTCTCTCTATATATATATATATATATATATATATATATATATATTCAAACAAGAATAATGTGGTGTTTTTACTGCTGAACTGCTCTTTTATTCAATATATATTTATATTTATATACTACTCATTGTACTACTTATATATCCATTACATACATTAAATGATCCGTGATGATTTTCAATATGCCTTATGAGGATAAGATTTATCATTTTCATATATTGATTAATTGATTTAAATCATTAAAAGGAATAGAATATGATTTATGCTTTTGATCTGCATTTTGTTGTTGTTGTTGTTGTTGCTGTGGTAGTTCTTTCACATTGTACTCATTCTAACTAATCAATATGTTATGATGGTGATGATGATGCATTTGTTTTAATCTTTTCTTTTTTCTCCTCTCTCTCTCTCTCTTTATCTCTCTTGGAAACAAAACAAAATAGGAAATAATCAGAGAAAGGGTGGGGGGGTTGAAATTTTATAAGTCATTTAAAGTTAGATCATCATTAAAAAAACATGAACGTATTAGATGGTTGTTTCGTTCTAGTATAAAACTTGTCAACGGGATGAAATAGCCATCCAATATTATCAGGTTTTCTATACTGATCTAACTTCAATTGATTCATAGAAATTCAATTATTAAAACAAAGAACTGATATCATCTTTGATATCTTCTTTTCTTTACCTCTTCTTGTTGAAGCCTTCTATCCCACTTACATCTATATATATATATATATATATATATATATATGAATCTGGTGTTCATCTCGTTGTACTCATGAGATATACCAACTTGAATCAATACCCTGATCCTAGATGGTAACTGATTGATGATTGACTGATCAGTTACATAATCATATTATAGATCAATATAGAAAGTGTTTGAAATGATTTCTCAGTATTGTTTATTTCATTGTTATCATTCTTTTATTCTTTCTCTTTTTTTCTCACTTTTTTTATATATATACTACTGAATTACTTATTTTCATTTGCACATATTCAAATACATGCATATACATATATATAATGTAAATTTCTTCATTAGTAATTTTGTATGAACAAGGAGTTTATAGATAAACAATAATATTACTTATTTGGGTGACTTCCTTTCTTTCGAATGTATGATATTACAACCAGCAACTAACAAGATCATTATGGAGATATCTCAAAAATTTGAATGAACAACAGTCTTAGTGTTATAACTTGTGAACCTATGTAACCTATTTATTGTATAACGCAACAATACCGCCAATCAGAGTGCAGTGAATTATCGATCGGACCAATGAAGTCATAAAACCTGTGCGAGTAGTCTAGAGTCCTGAGTGATCCTGCTTTCCGCCTAGCCCAAACCAGTTAAATCCAGTACACCAATCTTAGCCTCTGCAATATGAATCCTTATATTTCAAACATTCTGGGTTTATATACCAACCAGACAGACCATATCGTACCAATAAAATAGGAAACAACATTTGTACAAGATCTAGCTAAATGTGGCTATGAGTGAGGGAGGTAGTAATTAATAGACAGGGCATAATTCAAGAATGGTAAATCGTATAATAATAGTTCATAGGTCAAAATAACGCTCATAATAAGAGAGACATGAATATGAATAGTTTAGTTATTTAACTTCCAGCTGAAGAAGAAATTAGGAAAAGACAATGGAAATGGATAGGACATACATTACGCAAATCGTCGAACTGCATCACGAGGCAAGCCCTAACTTGGAATCCTGAAGGGAAGCGAAAAAGAGGAAGGCCAAAGAACACATTGCGTCGGATGATAGAAGCAGATATGAAAGTGATGAATTACAACTGGAAGGAGCTAGAAAGGATTGCCCAGGACACGGTTGGATGGAGAATGCTGGTGAGCGGCCTATGCTCCTTCATGAGGAGTAACAGGCGTAAGTAAGTAAGTAAGTTATTTAACAATTATGTGATAAAAATATACGTTTAGTATTGGTCCATAAAAAGGATCCCAAAAGTTACCATTCATTATGCTTATCGGGACATAATACTTGGTAACTTGAGACTTTGATCATAGCGCCCAAAGGATAACTACTTGATATCCGTCATCCACAAACTTTCTATAAGTAGTTTTATATATGTTAGATTCTTAATTTTCAAGTTCTACCATCAAAGATAGGAATTCATAGGGAAGGATGAGGTGAGTTCAAATTTACTAGCCTTCACCTCAATTTGAGGGAATACAGTATAGGTAAAGGTAATGTTTAATGGTTGACATATTCTTGTTCATTTAGGTGTATATTTCCTTTTGACTTTCAATTTTCAGCTTTTTGTCTTACCACTCTTCAGCTAATCTACTTGACATCATGAGATCTAAGTGAAATGAATGTTTTGGTCAAGAAAGCTTATTATGATATGATATACAATCTTGAGCACTCATTGAATGTAGAGTTTTTGAATAGCTTAGTGTTAGTGTTTCAGGTCATAACACTTCAATAAGTATTTAAATCTAATAGAGAATATTAGTTCTCTCGAAACTGAGAGTAACCTTTTCTGACAAGGGCTAACCGTTACAAAACTAATCTTCAGGGTTTTAACTCGATACATTCAACTATCTAACATATCAAGTTGAGCCTAGAATAACTTTCCTCATAGTGTTTCATGAATTGATCCAATGACAAACGTAATATTGTCAAAAGCCAACTTCTGATAGAATTTCACCCGAAAGTAATCAGAAATGACCAATATAATAACTTTCTATATTTTCGATTTGTTTGATGGTTGTTAGTCATTAACAATATGAGAGTTAACACCAGCACAAGTTGATACACTTTAGATCATCATTTTGAAAAATCAACATACAGTGAATAGTTGTTTCCTTTTCATTTAGAACTTCTTACGATTGGGAATACATGAGCTTAGATGAGATTCAACCTATGACCTTGTAGTCTGGTAGACATGAACTGTGAAATTCAACCATAGAACTGAACGATCTGCATGATAATTTCCCAATACTATTGATAATAACAATTTCATTTTCGATATGTTTGGGCATTACCAGGTATGATATAGAATTCCAGAAATTCATCTTTGATACTTACCTACTTGCGCCTGTTAATCACAATCGAGCATAGACCGCCGACCAGCATTCTCCAACTCATACTGTCCGCAGCCTTCCTTTCTAGTTATATACAATTGTTGCTCATTCTTCTCATATCTGCCTCTTTTTCTCGGTGGAATGTGTTCTTTGGTTTGCCTCTTTTCCTTTGGCCTTGAGGATTTCAGGTGATGACGGCTTGTTTTGTGACGTAGTTGTGTGTTTTCCTCGATGTATGTCCTGTCCACTTCCAGCACCTCTTCCTGATTTCTTCCTCCTCTGAAATCTAGTTTGTTCTCTCTCACAGTACGTTGTTGCTGATAGTGTAGTGTGTGACGAACGGATCCAAAATATTTCGCATAGACAACTGTGAATAAACACTTGTATGTTGTGGATGATGGCTTTCGTAGTTATCCATGTTTCCGCCGCATACAGTAGAACTGTCTTGACATTTGTATTGAAAATTCTGACTTTCGTGTTGGTTGACAGACAGTTGTTTTGCGTTTCAGATGTCCTTCAATTGTAGATATGCTGTTATTGCTTTACCGATCCACACCTTCACGTCTGTATCGGATCAACTGTGTTCATCAATGATTCTGCCCAAATATGTAAAGGTTTTGTTATACAGTCCTGAATGAGCACTACTGAGGTTTCCCATGTTAGAATTAATATGCTACCTGGTTTTGTCTGATTTTCAATGCTGTATAAATACCACCCATTAATCAAACTAATTACAACAAAATATCTCGATAGTCATATATTACAGTATCCTCATTGATAGCTTGCTTCAGGGTGAGTTCTCAAAGTTCCAGTAAACAGTTTTGATTTAGTGGAGTGAGATGGTGATCACCAATTAATGATAGTGAATTACTGTCACGCTAGATCACAAATCAGTTAAAGTTAGAAATGTAAAACACTAGATATCATCTCAGTGATGTAAGGGTTAAAGACTTATCCCGAGAACGAATTATCTTAGGTTTATTCCATATCAAGGACATAGGTATCTCCTACCGAGCAGTCTCAAACTACTACGAAACTGCTATATAGTACTCCTTTTAGTTTTCAATGGCCCATCAACTAATATTCATCAATGACAAGAATAAACTTCACTTTGAGCTGACCATCATAAATCTTTAATCTGAAAAATGAACATTAAACCGATACGTTCACCATTGATTGATCTTTGGATGGTGATCAATTTCATGTATGTCAGGTCCTTCTTAGTACAGATCGAGTCCTATCGACCGAGTTGCACTGTGGCCACCAGTACAGGTGACTCGACATTGCGTGCACTATGTTGAGATAAGATGATGGTTGGAGGTAGTCAACAGGAAATTCTGGACCTAGGCTTTGTGCTATTTGGTACTCGTCAGCAAGGTTTACCTGTAATCTTGAGAGGACTGATGCTCTCTGACGGATTCAGTCCCATGTTACCCAGCTTCACAGTTAGAGACATTATCACTAGGCTATTCGGGCCGTGACTGACCTCCTGTAGGATTGAACTGTATCCACAATACATTAAACACACATAAATAGTTTAAGTATTTTATTAAATAAGAA